ATGAGATGTTAGACGAGCAGGTGTCCACATACTTTTGGTAATGTAGTGTACTTTACATTTTTGAATGTTGTGGGGGTTGCTTCAAGCAACGATATATTTGGGTGAATGGTAAGAGACCTACATTAGTACAGTTATTCATTCTACAACAGGATTTCAAGCAGTGAAGCAGCTTCTACTTGCAGCTCTATTTAAATTTGTCGCTGATTATCTCCGTACATAGTTAGTGAGTGAATGCATAGCCAAAATAGAACTCCTACCTGACTTAATATACCAGTACAGTACACCCAGAGTCATATGTGCTGTCCTATTTGATAGCTCTATAATACTAGTCTCTCTGTGGAGCACTGTGAGGGAAGCTCAAGGCCATAGAGACTGCAGCAGAACACAATATATGCTTCTGTTTATAGGTAGTGGCTGCTGAGCCAACTGAATGGACACTGTGTCAACCTCCCTTTTATAGTAACAGTATATTCTTAATAGCCCCTGAAGGGATACATAAAGCTGTATTGAATTGAAAATTGAATTGAGGACGTTTCAATGTATCATGAAATGGAAAAAATCTTAACAAAAGCTGTATTTTGAAATGTTGTAGCTATATTCAACCAGGCAAACAAGATCCAAGACATGAGTTGGTAAATCTTTATTAAATTAAATTCAGCGTTGTACTGCGATGCACTCTATAGACTTGAGGAATATGTCTGATCTTTTAGTACAGTAAGCATTAGGTTATGATTGTACACCTCTAAGACTGTGTATGATAGGCTGCTACAACTAAAGCTCTGAAACATTAGCCTGGTCCAAGATTTGTGTGTGGTCTCGTCAACTCCATTGCTGTCATTGTCAAGCCAAACATTGACATGGCAATGAGTGACAAAGAGTTGGCATGCTAGCACAAACAGACTGGCACTCAGGCTAGGTGCAATACATTGTCCAGTCTGATTCTTTCCCATACAGCCTGGGCCTACTCCTGGACCTACTGCTTAGCAACATAAGGGACAGAACTATGAATCAAGATGCAGCAGACTTGTATATAGTCTACATTAGATCTACATAGGGGTTTTCATCTTATTTATTGTATGCATCCATTCTTGGCATTGTTATGGTGCAAAGAAAAATCCATAAGTGATGTAGCATTGGCCCACCTTCACCTGCTATAGGTAATACAATGGATGTGTCCCAAATAGCACCCTGTTCCCTTTATAGTGTGCTACTGTTGAGTGCCCCGGTGAAAGGTAGTGCACTGTAAAGGGAATAGGGTGCCATTTGGGACGTAGTCATGATTACTCCATTTGCTTCCTATGTGATTGTTACACAACTAGAACCTGGGCAAGTGCATTCTAGTACATTCTAGTGCATTCTAGTACATTCTAGTACACTCAGACACAGGAATAATACAGTGGTATTGTTTGTTGTTGTGTGATTCTGTCAAACAGTAATTGAATGTGTCACTCTCTCTCTATATATATGTCTATACATCTATTTACAGTATATACTTTATATGTGGACAAGATATAAAGGATGTATCATGTCTGGACTGTTTGCATTCACAAAAACATAGGTGTCATTTTTACAATATTAAAAAATACCAATATAACCCTTCTGTCTATCATAGTTTATTATAAGCGTATTGAAACATCTTTGATCAGTTGTTTTTATACAACCTGCAATACTCTACTCTCTTGTTCAATCTTATACTCTGATATACATTTTATATAATCATATACTATTTGTTATACTCTTTATGCTTACTAACTATTACTAGAATTAATTTATACTAAATCCACAGGCCTCCTACCTGGAACGTCCCCAAATACAACAGGAAGCCTTAGAATCCACTGTAGTATCGCCCTACACTACACTGATATAGAGGCAGTGTTTCAAATGACACCCTGTTCCCTATATGGTCAAAAGTAGTGCATTATATAGGAAGGGTGCAATTGGTGGGGTGTAGAAGGGAGCATATCGAGATGATAGAGAGAGAGAGAGAGAAGCGAGAGAGAGAGAGCGAGAGAGAGAGAGAGAGAGGAGAGAGAGAGAGAGAGAGAGCGAGAGAGTCAGATCTTCTATCTAAGCTCTCTCTCTCTTCTATATCTTCTCTTCTAACTCTCTCTCTATCTCTCTCTTCACTCTCTCTTCTCTCCTCTATCTCTTGGCCTGAATACAACTGCCTCCACCCCTGCTCCGCTTATAGTGAGTCAGTTACCTATAATTTAAAAGTTATCTCGCAGTATAACGATGAATTAGCAGTCTGTTTACTAATTTCCCTCTCTCAGGATCAACATCTCTGATTCAGCTTACAGCTCCCATTAAGTGCCTTTACTAAGTTTTCAGAATTGTATCCCATGAACACAAAGTAAAGAAAAGGAACTATCGCTATAAATAACACATGAATGGATGCAAATAAATTAATACAATCCATTTTAAAATGTGATCCTTTTACATACAGACTATCTAACATTACATTATAAATAGCTCCAATCCTCTTAACTCTTGAAGATGTTTCAGTGCTATATACAATATACATAAGCATGGGTGTTCATGAAACATTACAGACATTATACAAAAAGTATTTTAGAGATGGCATAAAGGTATAGTTCGGCTAAGATTAGATACAACTTACATCCATTTTCAAAGCACCATCTTGGTATACCACTTTGATGGGAGAGCTGCTCCTAAAGGCAGACCTATTGGAGAGGAGAAAGCAAGGACAATGAAAAGCAAGCGGCTAAATGTAATGACATCATTGATGACATCACACCAGTTCAATGACATTAGGTTCTATTGGTGGGTTCTTGTTAGGTTCTTTTAGATTCTATTGGTGGGTTCTTCTTAGGTTATATTATGTTCTATTGGTGGGTTCTTGTTACGTTACAGCCTTATTCTAAAATTGATTTAATTGTTTTTTTCCTCATCATCAATCTACACACAATACCCCATAATGAGAAAGCAAAAAAAGGTTTTTAGAAAGTTTTGCAAATTTATTACAGATAAAAAAACGGAAATATCACATTTACAAAATTATTCAGACCCTTTACTCAGTACTTTGTTGAAGCACCTTTGGCAGCGATTACAGCCTCGAGTCTTCTTGGGTATGACGCTACAAGCTTGGCACACCTGTATTTGGGGAGTTTATCCCATTCTTCTCTGCAGATCATCTCAAGCTCTGTCAGGTTGGATGGTTGCTGCACAGCTATTTTCAGGTCTCTCCAGAGATGTTCGATTGGGTTCCAGTCAGGGCTCTGGCTGGGCCGCTCAAGGACATTCAGAGACTTGTCCCGAATCCACTCCTGCGTTGTCTTGGCTGTGTGCTTAGGGTCGTTGTCCTGTTGGAAGGTGAACCTTTGCCCCAGTCTGAGGTCCTGAGCTCTCTGGAGCAGGTTTTCATCAAGGATCTCTCATATTTCCCTCAATCCTGACTAGTCTCCCAGTCCCTGCCACTGAAAAACATCCCCACAGGATGATATTGCCACCCCTATGCTTCACCGTAGGGATGGTGCCAGGTTTCCTCCAGACGTGACGCTTGGCATTCAGACCAAAGAGTTCAATCTTGGTTTCATCAGACCAGAGAATCTTGCTTCTCATGGTCTGAGAGTCTTTAGGTGCCTTTTGGCAAACTCCAAGCGGGCTTTCATGTGCCTTTTACTGAGGGGTGGCTTCTGTCTGGCCACTCTACCATAAAGGCCTGATTGGTGGAGTGCTGCAGAGATGGTTGTCCTTCTAGAAGGTTCTCCCATCTCCAGAGAGGAACTCTGGAGCTCTGTCAGAGTGGCCATCTGGTTCTTGGTCACCTCCCTGACCAAGGCCCTTCGCCCTGATTGCTCAGCTCTAGAGTCTTGTTGGATCCAAACTTCTTCCATTTAAGAATGATGGAGGCCACTGTGTTCTTGGGGACCTTCAATGCTGCAGACATTTTTTGGTACCCTTGTCCAGATCTGTGCCCCGACACAATCCTGTCTCAGAGCTCTGCATACAATTCCTTCGACCTCATCGCTTGGTTTTTGCTCTGACATGCACTGTCAACTGTGGGACCTTATATAGACAGGTGTGTGCCTTTCCAAATAATATCCAATCAATTGAATTTACCAATCAAGTTGTAGAAACATCTCAAGGATGGTCAATGGAAACAGGATTCACCTGAGCTCAATTTCAAGTCTCATAGCAATGGGTCTGAATACTTATGTAAATAAGGTATTTCTGTTTTTAATTTTTAATACATTTGCTAACATTTCTAAAAACCTGTTTTTGTTTTGTCATTATAGGGTATTGTGTGTAGATTGATGAGGAACATTTGTTATGTAATCAATTTTAGAATAAGGCTGTAACATAACAAAATGTGGAAAAAGTCAAGGGGTCTGAATACTTTCCGAATGCACTGTATTAGGTTCTATTTGTGGGTTTTTCTCAATTATAGTATGTTCTATTGGTGGGTTCTTAGGTTATTTTAGGTTCTATTGATGGGTGTTTCGAAATGCTATTAGGTTCTATTGGTGGGATCTTCTTAGGTTATTTTAGATTATATTGGTGTGTTCTTCTCAATGTTTTTAGGTTATATTGGTGGGTTCTAGTTTCTATTAGGTTCTATTGGTGGGTTTTTAGTTTCTATTAGTTTCTATTGGTGGGTTCTTCTTAGGTTATTTTTAATGCTATTAGGTTCTATCGGTGGGTTCTTCTTAAGGCAGGATGTCTTGCATTTTAGCAATTTAAATCTACATGGCAAGCCTGGTAGGTTGTGATATAGGGACAACAAAGTGGGAAGGGAGAAGGGGCTTACAAGATAATTAGATGGATTGTCTTTATTTTGTCTCCAGGTGCAATACTCCATCAAACCTCTCCCTCCTTCCGTTCTCTCCTTCTCCTCCTTCCTCCATCCATTCCAGCTCTCTAAAGTGTAAAGTCCTGCTAAAGCCCCTGCAGGAAAACAGGAACAAGCATCAGTTCAGGTGGTCCCTTCCTGTTTCAGTCTGTTTTCTTCTGTTTGGTGCCTAAAGCATACGACCCTGCTAAAGGCCTTGCAGTAGGGCTGTGTTAAACTCGGTGACCAGGAAGTCAATGTGGTCCCTCTCTTTGTTCTTGAAGGCCTCAGCGATGATGCGAGCAGCGTCCCGGTGCTCCCTACCCCTCAGGGAGACCCCATTCACCTCCAAAATCTCATGACCCACCTTCAGCTGCCCACAACCGTGTGCCGAGCCCCCCTTCTATGAGAGAGAGAGACAGAGAGACAGAGAGAGAGAGAGAGAGACAGAGAGAGAGAGAGAAAGAAACATAAAATAAATAATCACTTTGTGCAGACAGGATGTGTAGACAGGATGTGTCCTTGCTAAAGAGAGAGAAGATACGAAGGGAAGAGAAAAGAGGAGAGCATTGTTGTGGATTCAAGGAAAGGTGAGAGACAAAGTACAAAGGTAGAGGTAGAGGTAGTGGTAGAGGTAGAGAGTGAAGGGAAGAATGACATAGCGCTTTGTGCCAGGTGGACTCCTGTCTGTCAGGCAAAATAAGGACAGACACATCAGAACAGACACATCAGGACAGAGACATCAGGACAGACACATCAGGACAGACACATCAGGACAGACACATCAGGACAGAGACATCAGGACAGACACATCAGGACAGACACATCAGGACAGACACATCAGGACAGACACATCAGGACAGACACATCAGGACAGAGACATCAGGACAGACACATCAGGACAGACACATCAGGACAGCGGAAGTATTCCAACCAACTAACAATGTTTACTCTTTAGAAAGAGATGGCACTCTAGCATTATACAACAGCTGCTGCATAGACTTGAAATTGGCTGTGCATGTTATGGCATTCCATTGCGTGACCACTTCTTCTCCTTAAAATTATCTTTATAATATTCTTATGGCACCAACTTACCAAATGTGTAAATGCTCCATATCGTTCAGGAAGTCAAACAGTCAAATCCCCTTTCTATTCTCTGGCTGTCCTATCCTGACATAACCTCTTCAACAATGTCACTTACAATAACTCGTATGATGATTCAGGGCCGACCAAAAGTCTGCATCTCAAATGGCACCGTATTCCCTCTATAACTTTTGACCATGGCCCATAGGGACTATAAACGGACTATATAGGGAATAGGATACCATTTGGGACACAGAAAATGGACTGTTATTTAATCAGACTGATGGTGGTGAAACATAATTGGTCTAATGAGGCAGTAGTATCTGTGCCATGTCAGTTTGATGATGGGCCTGTAAATGACTGGGACACCATCAGGACTCTATTGGACTACAGAGATGTATGGGGGGCTGCTCGTGAGGAATCATTCTTATGGAAATCACTGCACTGTCACGCAAAGCCCTCAATCAGACTCTCCTTCATCTCTCGTCAGTCTGAATTAGGCATAAGGATGTTCAGCACATAAAAGACTGCAGAAACTCATTATGTGTTCCAAATAGCACCATATTCACTGCACTATGTACTGTAGTGTATGTCTTTAACCAGAGCCCTCAGCTCAGAAGTTGTGGACTTTCTATGCTATAGTGTGCCATTTGGGAAGCAGTGTATAATATGAAAATGCATGCTGTACTTGTAGATAAATTGTTGTTAAATGAACACAAAATATTAATCATGTTGGAATGTAGGTCCACTTCAGTCGTCACACCTGTCCACACCTGTCCACAGCATCCTGGTGACCTAGATCACCCAAGACCCTGACACTAACCAGGTGGCCGAAAACTTTCTTCAACAAAGTTAAACATCCCCTGGAGAGATTCCTTGACCTGCTTTGAAATTATTATCAATGCAAATATAGGCTGTTATTACGCACATAAACAGATGCTCACATTTAAGATGAAAGAGAAAATGATAATATCTCTGTCATGTTTGATGCTTGCTGTAATCCATATTGCACTCATTAACACTACAATACGTATCAGTATGCGCAGACCATTAGGCACAACATGGGGGTTCTACATTCACATAGAAGGGCGTGGTTCTTACTATTTACAGACATCACAGTACAAAAGCCATGTGTAGTCTTCATACTACATTCATGTTCAAAGTTATCCTAAATGTTACAGTATGATAAGCTGATGCAGAATCATCTAGATATTCCCTATACAAGTGCACTACTTTTAAATGGACCCCCATGAGCCCTGGTCAAAAGTAGTGCACTACATAGGGAATAGATGACCATTTGGGACTCGACCTCTCTCTCACCTGTATGGTGACGATGCGTGGCAGTGGCTGCCGTGTGTTTGCCCCTCCCTCTATAGCGATGCCCAGAGTGTTGGCATTCTTTACCACACGTACCAGAGTAGGTATGGGTACTGGAGAGCCAGGATGCTGTAGGGCACACAACACGACATAGAATGACGACATAGAATGACGACATAGAATAAAGACATAGAAGGACAACATAGAATAAGGACATAGAATAAAGACATAGAATAAGGGCATAGAATAAAGACATAGAATAAAGACATAGAATGACAACATAGAATAAGGACATAGAATAAGGACATAGAATAAGGGCATAGAATAAAGACATAGAATAAGGGCATAGAATGACAACATAGAATAAGGACATAGAATAAGGACATAGAATAAAGACATAGAATAAGGGCATAGAATAAGGGCATAGAAGAAGGGAATAGAATGACAACATAGAAGAAGGACATAGAATAAGGACATAGAATAAAGACATAGAATAAGGGCATAGAATAAGGGCATAGAAGAAGGGCATAGAATGACAACATAGAATAAGGACATAGAATAAAGACCTAGAATAAGACATAGAATAAAGACATAGAATGACGACATAGAATAAAGACAGAATAAGGACATAGAATAAAGACAGCATAAGGACATATAATAAAGACATAGAATAAGGACATAGAATAAAGACATAGAATGACGACATTGTCACGATCGTTCATGAACGGGTCAGACCAAGGCGCAGCGTGATATACATACATGTTTATTTGACTTATAAACACAACGACAAAACAAGAAATGAAACATGAAGTCCAAGGTACACAAAAAACATACCTAACACGGAACAAGATCCCACAACCCACTAGTGCCAATAGGCTGCCTAAGTATGGTCCCCAATCAGAGACAACGAGCGACAGCTGCCTCTGATTGGGAACCACACCGGCCAACATAGATCTAGACGTACTAGATCTAAACCTAGAAAATACAACATAGAACATCACAACATAGAAAGTCACACCCTGACTCAACAAATAAGAGTCCCCAGAGTCAGGGCGTGACAGACATAGAATAAGAACATAGAATAAGGACATAGAATAAAGACATAGAATAAAGACATAGAATGAGGACATAGAATAAAGACATAGAATAAAGACATAGAATAAAGACATAGAATAAGGACATAGAATAAAGACATACAATGAGGACTAAAATACAAGATAAACACTAAGGCTAATGGACGGCATTGAGTGTTCTTTAATAAAATATGCTTTTTGTATTTCTTTCAGTGTTATTACCAAGTGGGGCAAACCATGAATTTGTGAAAAGGCAAAACAGAGTGTCCTGAAACTCAGAGATTTATGAATGTCATGGTGTGCGTCCCAAATTGCACCCTATTCCCTATATAGTGCACTACTTTTGACCAGAGCCATATGAGCCCTGGTCAAAAGTAGTGCACTACATTATAAAGGGAATAGGATTCCATTTGAGACTCAACCATGTTGTTTCTGTTGTGATATGGGCCCTTGGTGGCCCTCACCTGTTTGGATGTCAGTACTGCAGACCCCTGGGCCCCCTGGGGCCCCTGTGTGGCCTGGCTGGCCTGGTTCTTAGTGGGCTGAGGACTGCTGTCTTTACTGAGCCCTCCTGCCTCAGCGATGTCCACCCCACTGTCCTCACTCAGAGTCTGACCACTGTCTGACAGCTGGGACAATGTGGTGCCTGGATACACAGAGGAAAGTAGATTAGATTATATATGTAAAGCCATACACAGGCAAGCACACAGACACACGCAGGCACAGATACACACACACACACACATTGATCTTTACCTCTCTGCAGGGGCTCGGGCCTGACCTCAGCAGTCAGTCTGTGTGCGTCTGCCATGACACACAAACCTCTCTGGCTGAGGGAGGGAGAGCAGGGGGAGCAGAGCCTGTCTGGACTACATGGGGGAGGACCCAGCACAGAGAGAGAGGGACAGGGTGAAGGACAGGGGGAGGGACAGGGGGACAGACATGGGGAGAGACCAGGGGAGGGACAGGGAGAGAGACATGGGGAGCTAGTCTTAGAGGAGGAAGCAGGCTTCTCATGGGAGCAGGATCTGAAGATGGGATGCTTGATGAATGTCTCCTTGTTCTGAGAACCAGAGGGCTTGGGGTGAAGGGAGCCAGGGCAGGTATGGTGGCCGGAGCTGGGAAAGCCGTGGTGGGTTTGGTGGGTGTGGAGGTCGGGGGAGGTAGTTGTGGAGATGTTGAGGGAGTTTTGGCAAGTGTGGTGAAGAGAGTTCATGGATGTGTGATTGCCAGAGGTTGGATAGACACTATGGCCAGTGCCAGGGTTGGGGGTGTTATGATGGCCAAGGTTGGAGCTGTTATGATGGCCAGGGTTGGGACAGGTGTGATGGAGGCCAGAGCTAGGGGAGGTGGACATTTGGTGGTTGGAGAAGATTTGGAAGGCTTTAAGGTGTTTGTGGTGACATTCCTTGTGCAGCCTGGTGGGTGCAGTAAAGAGCAGGCCAGATTGGGAGTGTCTGGATAAGGGGCGCTTGGACTGCTCCCTCTCCCTGTCCCTGGGGTGTCTGGGCTGGGTCTGTCCGAGTCCGGGGGGAGGAGGAGGCTTGAAGGACGGAGGAGACGCAGCTGTAGACTGCACTTCATTCTAGAAACAAAAAGGGACATTGTTTGTACATACTTTTTTTACAAACAAACTCTGTACAAACTCAGTCTGTCTGAGGAAGGTCACCAAATGTAGTTTTTTTGATGGAGAGAGTGTCACGCCTCACCTTTAAAATGCATTGTTCAAAAACATTGGCATTTAAGTATAATTTGCCTCTGCTGCACATCATAAAACCTGACTATGATTTAGATCAGACTGAAACTATCTCAAACTCATGTACAGACTCACCAATGTAACGTCAGGTAGGACATTAGTGCTTGCCCCTGGATCTTGCTGTACACTGTCACCATGTGAGCACTCCTGCTGAAAGAGAGACAGAGACACAAGGTTTGCTGTGTTACATTAATATGACTTCACCTGGTATTTCACCTGAATTGTTAGATACTACTGAATTGTTAGATACTACTGAATTGTTAGATACTACTGCACTGTTGGAGCTAGGAACACAAGCATTTCGTTACACCTGCAATAACATCTGCTAAGTATGTGAATGTGACCAATACAATTTGATTTGATTTAGATTTTATCGTTCAAAATAAACAGGCCCAGTCATAGACTCACTGACCTGCCTCCCAGTACAATGTTGTGAGACAATAATGTGCTGAAACATTAACCATTAACCGTGACTAAAGACCTCAATTAACCATTAACACAGGAAGTTAATTTAGCGCATACAATATAAATTAACTGCAATTACTTGCTAACTAAGGGTGTGATTTTACAGCTATAGTAATGATGATGTCAACACAACCAATTATACAAGCACAGAGTGGACAAGCTCAGCAGAACCAGCCAGCCATGGCAACCAGCCAGCCATAGAAAACAGACAGCAACACTGTCACCTTGGACCATGGGGAAACTGTCATACACATGCACACACCCACGTTCACGCACGCACACGCGCACGCACAATAACATGAACAACTGCTGAGCACAAAAGACATCCTTGGGTTCAGCTCTCAGTCATCTTAAAGATAATCTCTCCTCACAATGGTTTCAAATCCCGCTGGTTCACCGCTGAATAATCTCTGCTTTGTTGGAGAAAATGGCACCCTATTACGTATATAGGGCACTACTTTGACCAGAGCCATATGGGTATGGTCAAAAGTAGTGCACTAAATAGGGAAAAGGGTGCCATTGTGGATACAAACCCTGTTTCATCAGTTCATATTAAAGTGTGGCCGGGTCTCAGACTCAGTTGGATGGTTACAGTGTGTTATAGTGTTTTGTTAGAGTGACTGTGCCTTGGCAGAATGAGGTCCCATTCAGCTGGTCCAGGCCACATCAGTGCTACAGAACACTGCTGCTCAGAAATCTCATCTGAAGTCACTGCTCCGTTTCATTTGACACTGGCAACAGTCAGAATGCACTTCCAATTGATGAAAGATGAGAGAAAATATTGAAAAGATGCCAGGAGGAAACACACACACACAGTATACACACACAGGCACCATATACTTAGACTTAAATAGGCACGCAAACATGCACCCATGCACACACCAATGAACACACACACACACACTTTGAATATTCTAGAACCATCCTATAGGAACACACCTATAAGTCCCTCCATCTTGCACTGTTCCTCCTACCTTGAAAGAGTAGAGAGTGGCCGGGTTGGAGTGGCTGTGGCTGGCTGAGGGCTCAGTGTGTAGACAGTGGCTGTGTGGGTGTGCAGGGTGTTGGGATCCTATTCCTCTGTGCCAGGCCTTCAGAGCCTCCCTCTCGCGGTGCAGCACCAGCCCATCATACAGCTCCCGTTCCTGGGGAGCCACCAGACTACGCACCTCAGACAGCAGGGACAACTGGAGGGAGGACAGGAGCATAGAATTAGAATGAGTAGAATGGGTTTCACTCAAGTTAATGATTCCATAATGAGTGGACTGGTGGCCATATTGAGTGGACTAGTGGCCATTTTGAGTGGACTGGTGGCCATTTTGAGTGGACTAGTGGCCATTTTGAGTGGACTGGTGACCATTTTGAGTGGACTAGTGGCCATTTTGAGTTGTCAAATAAAAGGTGAGAAGGGGAATCGGCACACTGCGTTATGCTTCCATGGGAATTTATAAGACACCGTTCTGAGCACTATGTTTTCATCAGGTCTCCTTTGACAAAGAGAACTGGAGAGAAGCCAGGCGGGAGAGTGGATGAACAACTGAGACCAGGAACCTAGAGAACATGTATGGGCATTTTGGATGAGTGACCGTGTGTACATGAAATGAAAATGTTATCAACAGTTGTGGAGATACCATTATCAAGAGAGAAAAAGATCGACCATAAGATGAACCAGGCACCCAGGGTGTGTCCCAAATGCCACCCTATTCCCTATATAGTGCACGACTTTTTACCAGAGCCGAATAGTGCACTATATAGAGTATAGGGTGCCATTTGGGACGCACAACCAGATGTGCTGTCCCAGCAGGCGTGCGTTACCTTGGCATGGGTGTTGAAGAGCTCAAACAGGGCCATGGTGAGGGGCTCCAGGCCGATGTGTCCCTCCTGGTACTCCTTCAGGTAGTAGCCCATGGTCTGTCTCTCTGGGTCAGTCAGCAGCAGGTAGGCCTGCTCCTCCAGAGACACCTGGGAACCCGGGGGCCCCACACCTTGACACACAGACTGTATGGAGGGAGGGATAGAGGGAGGGAGGGAAAGAGAGAGAGGGGGGGAGAGAATGATTGCACCCACATGAAAAAAGACTACAGTTTACTATAGAATACTATATCATTATTTAGTAAAATGTAGTATACTGTAAAATACTATACTACACACTGTAGTACCACTCGATCGTGTATTGCTTACTATAGAATGTTGTAGTATACTGTAGATATTCTTCTTCTTTTTATTATTGTTTCATTCACTTCTCTTTTTGACCTGCACTGTTGGAGCTTAAGAATCTCACTGTACCCTGCAATTACAGTGCGACCCTGTGCATGTGACTAATAAACTCATGTAGAATACTATACTCCACACTGTAGTATCCCTCCATCATGTATAATAGGTCTACTTACTATATCATTTTGTTGTATACTGTAGAAACACTACAGTTTGGTTTTACTATACTAATACTGCAGTATTTAATTTGCATATACCCCACCCATTCTCCTACCCATATCCCAATTTGAGCCACCCATGACTGAGAAAACATATATGCCAAGTATAGACCATATATTGTTTTCCCTACAGGTTATAGAAAATCGCAGAAGCTCTGAACTCTCCATTCAGACTCTAGTCCTACCTACAGGTTATGGAAAATGTGCTCTTTTAGTATTTGTCCAATAGGTTTCCTCAATGAGAAAGCCTCCACTTCTAAGTCAAAGATAATAAAACAAAAACACTACAGTAAATACTACAGTATACTACAGTAAAGTCCACAAAAACACTACAGTAAACACTACAGTATACTACAGTAAAGTCCGCACAAACACTACAGTAAATACTACATTATACTACAGTAAAGTCCGCAAAAACACTACATTAAATACTACAATATACTACAGTAAATAATATACACTGAGTGTACAAAACATTAGGAACACCTGCTCTTTCCATGACATAGACTGACCAGGTGAATCCAGTTGAAAGCTCTAATCCCTTATTTGATGTAACTTGTTAAATCCTCTTCAATCAGTGTAGATGAAGGGGAGGAGACAGGTTAAATAAGGATTTTAAAGCCTTGAGACAATTGAGACATGGATTGTGTATGTGTGCCATTCAGAAGGTGAATGGGCAAGACAAGAGATTTCAGTGCCTTTGAACGGGGTATGGTAGTAGGTGCCAGGCGCACCGGTTTGTGTGTGTCAAGAACTGCAATGCTGCTGGGTTTTTCCTGCTCAACAGTTTCCTGTGTGTATCAAGAATGGTACACCACCCAAAGGACATCCAGCCAACTTCACACAACTGTGGGAAGTATTGGAGTCAACATGGGCCAGCATCCCTGCGGAACGCTTTCGACACCTTGTAGAGTCCATGCCCCGACGAGTTGAAGCTGTTCTGGGAGCAAAAGAGGGTGCAACTCAATAGTAGGAAGGTGTTCTTAATGTTTTGTACACTCAGTGCATATGGCACGCTATTAGTGCACTATTAGGGAATAGGGTACCATTTGTGACACAGCCATAACACTCAGCTGCTAGCGTGCCTGGCCTCAGTCCCTGCCTCCCCCTGCCACAGCCAGCTAGAGAGCACAACACAGCCTTCATCTCTTCATAATCTGTCAAAGAAACTCTGACAAAATGTCAAAATATTCAATCTTTCAAGAGACCAGGCTTAGATTTAGTGTTCAATTAATGTTTTGTACACTCAGTGTAGTATATAAATATAGTAAAACTACAGTATTTATACCATAGTAAACTATAGTATTTTTTCATGTGGCCAGTTACCTATTGTTCTCTGCAGGACCAAAATTACAGTATCTTCTCAGCTCTCAGTCATCCCACCCACAGCACACCAACAGGCTTTAAAGCTCTAACAGTAGAAACCAATTTAAAGTCATCAGGATAAGGGTGAGTCAAATAACTTGTTTTGCCCTGAGAATTTTATCACTGTTATTCAGCTACAGCTTGAAATGGTTATTCCCTCGTTAAATAGACCGGATCTTCGAATATTGAGGAAGATCCAGTACCAAGCCATTGATGGATGTTAGTCTTAAATACCATTGGTTAAAATGATGGCATTCAAAATGATCCAGTTCCATTGATTCTAAAATGGGTGAGCAGAGGACTCTTTCTGCCACAGTTTTGTTTGCAATATCTGATGATATACCGCAGTACACTTTTGTTGAGGATGAATGTGCCATGAGTTAGAGGTTAAAGCTTTGTGTAGTGTGAAATCCACTGTCAGGAGCACTATGAGGAGAAATATGGGGTCAGGCCCAGAGAGTCAAGAGAAAAATGACATAGGTAGCTAGGGACTCAGAAACAAAGCATCAACTGTTGTTACTCTACATTACAGAGGGAATTTGTCAGCTATCCTCTCTGCTCCCCGCACACCTCTCACCACCACCACTATCAGGCTCAGCTCAGAGAAATGTTGCTCTGGTCAAAAAGAGTGCACTATATAGGAAATAGGTTTCCATTTGGGAGCCAGGTCTCGGCTCTGATAAAGAAGACATTAATTTTTCCCAAAGGTCATCCTAC